AGGGGAGGGTTGAGCGCTCACAAACATGTTTAACCCCGCCACATTCTTAATGTGCCTGTCCCAAGTCAGGAGTCTGTAGTTCAGTGGTTGTCGTTGGTTCATGTCTGTCATATTTGTTTTTCGTAAATTGTTTTGTTATAAATTAGGCCGTTAGTTTTCTAAATTAAATTGTTTCATATTTTTCATGTCGGGCTCTTTTATAGCCGACCATACGGTATGGATTTTTTTCTCATTGTTGAAAGCCGTACGTTGCCTATGATTGCTTACATCCACTTCATTTGATCTTTGGTGGGTAGTTGTCTCATTGGCAATCATACCCCATCTCCTTATTTTCATATTCTTTTTTATATTATTTTCTAAGGAGAAGATGGTATGACAAGATTTTTAGTTAAGACATGAAAATTTATTAAGGGAAAAAAGAGAAAAGAAGGTTGTAGAGGAGGTATTAATTTTGAAACCACACAATATAAAGATATATACATATATTTATACAATAGCTTTTATATAATAGCGTTTAAACAATAGCGTTTTTTTTCTCTCTCACTTTTATGAGTTTTACAACTGGGTCGATGACACTGTAGGTGGGCGTTTGTTTACCGTAGGTATCACCTGTCCATAGCTGTATTACTTGGAATAACACTAACATAATAAACTAGTACAAAAAATGTATACTTTTTTGTTTAGGGGCCAGCTGATTTTCTCGCTGTGTTGCAGACCCATTGGTGTGGCCTTGGACTGTTTTCTGCTCTTTGGTCGAGTTGTTGTCTCTTTGACACATTTCTCGTTTCCATTCTCAATTTTATAATACCTTTAACTAAATAATTGCATTTTTGTAAAAAAAAAAGTGCTGAATATATGAAAAAAGAATAACAAAAATACCGAGTTCCAAGGTAAATTCGAAAAGTGAAAAGTCCATAAAAACTGACAAAATCAAACGTCAGATCAACCAATAGAACGAATTGAAAACGTAGTCATATTCCAGACTTGACATGATAGCCATAGAAGATTACCATGCAGTCGACAAATTTTTCCTATGTTTTTGGTTTTTGTCTATAGTAATGTTGCCAATGTTGTTTGTCGATATATATATATTTAAAAACTAGCCAGTGATAGAGTGATTTGTGACTGAATATAGCTTCTACTAGATAATTGAGTGGTTTTAGCTGAAGAAATTTTCAAGTTATTCTGTGGTCCACAGACAAGAACCCCACCAGCTAGGGTATCGTCAATTATATATCAGTGCTTCGGTACTGACATGATTTATAGCAAACCATTAGAATGATGTTCAAAACGGCTTCTAGGACGACATTGAATGGCGTATTGAAGTTACCAATTGGCCTAGGTATTCGTGATTGGAATTGAATATCTAAAATATCTGATCAAAATGATACCATGACATTTCCACCAAAAAAAAAAGTTAGCAATATCATTTAAATAAAATGTACGAGGTTTGAAGAAGTATACTACATACTCTAAAGTAAAATGTGTTTTCAAAGTTTTAAGTATACTTATAAATGTAACGGGTGTATTATTTTCTAATGGGGCAATGTCAAAACAGTTTTCTGCATGAATTAATCCCTTGTTACTCTTACAATGATGTTCAAATTTCGTAATTTATGCTTGATAATAAGTAGAAATAATTGGTAAGGTCAAGTGATATACGAAACTACCAATATTCATATCATTCTTCCAATTAAACATTTCAAACATTGTGTGAGTTTTTGACATACATATATAGACAATACTAGGTCAATGTCAGAAAGATTATTTGTATAAGGCTTAGAAACAGGGGAGGGACGACGTTAGCCGAGCCCTTCATTAAGTTCGTGCCGAATAAAAACAATTTATAATTGTCTGACATTGACAAAATATTGTTTTTATATTACAATTATAGTTATCGAAACTTATTTGCAATTCCTAAACGAGCCCTAGATTTTAAAGAAAAGTGACATTTAATGAAATCAACATTGCACAAAACATCACTTTGTTACTATATTTGGTAAATAAAGACAACATGAAATGCTCTAGCTGCAGTATAAATGTATGTATAAAGTACTGCAATATGTTTTTGTAATTCAATTCAGATATTAACTGGCAGCATTTATACTCAATGATATCTTTAAAGAATATAGACAACTTTCCTTGGTGTTCACTCTGTCTATAGAAATAAAATTAATTATATCCCAGTATGTCCACAAATCCAATACATTACTTTTTAAAGTGAAGTATTGAACACAATTGTTTCCTGTTCAAATGATTTGGATCGAATTCATTACAATTTCTATAAATATTCTAAGTACTTTTGTGTTTCACCTGAGATAAATAATGTGCAAAATTCCGGGTAACATCAAATTGATGAGAAATTTGATGACCTCATGAGTTACGTAACACAGATATAGATATTTAATAGGGATCCAGACTTTAATTCTATTTTGTTGTTGTTGGTAGTAGGCGTTTTTTTTCTGTATACGGTAAGGTTGAATTTTTTTCACATTGGTGTACCTCAACGAAGCAACATGCTTTTAGTAAAGTTGTAACAAAAGTCAGACAATATTTTCCTTTTTGCGGTCTTACTTCGAATTTTAATTAACAAAAAAAACAACGAATTTAAACACCAAAATTAAGAAAAAAACAAAAACTTGTATGTACATTGTTAAAGACCTATATTGACTGCTTATATAAGTCTATTGTTTTTGTGTCGTGGGTAACAGTCTCGTTTACAAATACATCGAATCTCTTTTCATGCTACAATGAGCAGTATGAAGGAATGTCTGCAGTTTCTGAAGCAAGCTCAAAGTGATTAATCTTCTAAATAGTTATCAAAGGTACCAGGATTATAATTTAATACGCCAGACGCGCGTTTCGTCTACATAAGACTCATCAGTGACGCCCAGATCAAAATAGTTATAAAGCCAAACAAGTACAAAGTTGAAGAGCATTGAGGACCCAAAATTCCAAAAAGTTGTGCCAAATACGGCTACAGTAATCTAAATTGAGTTTTTCGAAAAATCAAACCTTTTGTAAACAGGAAATTATGAAAATGACCATATAATTGATATTCATGTCAACACCGAAGTGCTGACTACTTGGCTGTTGATACCCTCGGGGACGAAACAGTTATCTATATCTATGGTATCTATGATGAGTTTATTTAAAACCACATGGTCGATGCCACTGCTTGAGGGGGTTTCCTCCATGAAGGTATCACAAGTCCAGTAGTCCGCACTTCTGTGTTGACATGAGTTATCATTGATATGGTCATAATATATAAATTAACTGTTTACAAAACTTTGAATTGTTCGAAATACTAAGGATTTTCTACCCCAGGAATCGACGACCTTGCTGTATTTTGCAAAACCTTTTTGAATTTTGGATCTTCTATGTTCTTCAACTTCCTACTTTATTTAAACTTTTTTGATTCGAGCGTCACAGATGAGTTTTTTGTAGACGAAAGGCGTGTCTGGTGTACAACATTTTAATCCTGGTACTAGTATCTATGATTTATTTATTATATATAGAACATTTGTTACTGGACGTTAAGCAATCAACAATCAATCATTCAAAAAAGTGCCAAACCAACAATGTAGGAGGAGAAACAAATCGAAATCTGCGATGAAAAAAATGACCGAGCAGCTGTGTAGACCAATATCAGAAGATTTACAAGTTCGAAATGAAAATAGAGAATTTTAAGGCAACTGGTTGCATGGATTGATTGTGATTGTGTTTGTGACATTGTCTATTTGAAATAATTCTAATGACGTTATCAAATGTAAAACCGTCATAAACATAGCATAACTTCGTACTTTATTTGGCCTTTTTAACTTTTTTCATTCGAGTAGAATTTTGTAGACGTCTGGCGTACAACAGGTCTATGATGGGTTTATTTGTTTATGTTAGATTCGCATAATGGCATTATGTACTAAATAATGCCAGAATATGTCGGATTTATTCGATGTAGGTACAATATTTTACAATAAAAGTTCTATCCACTCTATTTTCAAAAGTCATGAAAACAGGAATTCATTAGACTATGACCCAATATTCCACGGAGATTCTGTTACACGATATTTTAGTTTTCTCATGAAAAAATCCAATATGCAAGTGTATATATTTATATAAGTTAACTAACATAATAAGAACAGTATTCTCTTAATTTCTTAGAAAATGGAAAGTTCCATGTAAAAATGAATACATGCAAACCAAATGCAGTCACGTGTTTTGTTACTTTTTTTTTTAAATTAAGTCAATTCCAAAAAGTAAACATATTTTTCTTTCGATTTTAAGCTTACAAAAATAGCAAAATTGTTTTCCTGATTTTAAGCACTTTAAACTTCCCTTTCCTTATTTCATATTTATAATCAAATGCTTGTGAATTGTTGTTAATAGACTGGCCGCTCAGGATATTTTCGCCTTTATTCTTATTTGGGTATTATAAGCATTGGCTATTAGGCTTTCGCCACACAAAAAGAAATCCGCATATTTGAGGTGTAGTTAGAAAGAAGTAGTAAGAAATATTCAGAATTCGGCAACCCACATATTTTATCTCTATGCTATATGTATTATTTTTTGGGAATGATTGCAGACTTAAACAATCGAAAAAGGATATTATTTCATTCTGTTGATTATCACAGAAAAATAATTAGTACAATTATCTTATTACCGTGAATATAAAACAAATCAGAAATGTCGAATATGTTAATGCAGTATTGAACGCCTGTAAAGAAGCAAGATTTTTTCTGTCCACCCTCTTCGTACGGGAAATTGGTAATATTGGGGATGCATTGCGACTATGATCAAGTTTTAAATGTTTTAATTTGAATTTCTCATTTAAACCAGAGACGTTTAATATTAGATATCTCTGTTTGAACTATATATACATTTTCGTCACCGAAAGTATTGCAATTGTAGAAAATATAGAATCTTACAATGAAATATATTTAGTAACATAAATTTTCATTTTCATAAAATAGACAATGACATCATTTGCCAGCTATAGAATCGAATAGTTTTATTTTAAGTCATGTGACAGCTAATTCGGGGAAATGTATAACTGTGTTAGTTTTATTTCGAAAAGGGAAGACATTCTTTATAACAACAAACTTTCAGTGTAAAGGTAAAGTTCATATTCAAATTATTTATGTACAAAACATTTAATTAAAAAAAAAAAGTTAAAACACATAAACATGCAAGCTTAACTTTTTTTAAATAAATGTCAATTCAGATGATAAATTTCAGAAATTACAATTTAAATGAGAAAAATATATGCCTCTTTGGGTTACGAAGGTATGACAATAGACCTATAATGAAAAAACTTTCCAGACCTGTTATATATATTTGAAAATTCCAATATAATATGAATAGTAACAATATGTCTGATCAAAACAAGTTGTGCAGTTAATCCAATAATAAATGAATGCCAAGAATCTCCTGGGTAACCACTTAATGTCTCTATATGGTTTGTATTTATATTTTACGCTCTGCATGTTAATTTATGTATGTATGTCTGGAGATATATAGGACAGACATTTGAAAATTAAATCTGCTGATATCATTTTCAAGATAATGCGTGCATAGGTAAATTTTGAAATTGCTGAAATTTGATTAAATTTTGTTTTGAAATTTAGTATATGATCTTAACAAACAATTCCGTCATATCTTTTAACTGATAGAGGTATGGTAATGTAATTTTTTCACAACTGATACATTTATGACAATATCAGCTGTCAGTTCTTTATTCGTAATCATGAAGCGTGTACCGGCCTAGTATATTGTCTGAATAAAAAGATTTTTAAACCACTTTTGTCCATGTCATCAATCCAATTTTATGACCTTATAAAACAAAACGTCGGTGTAATTGAATACACAAGCATTATATCCCATAACACTCAAAATGTATGTCATAAATAATAATTCATAATTAAGGCTTGCGTGATACATTTTCAATACTTTTGTAAGAACAGCAGTATGCTATATTTGATAAGCAACATTCTTTTATTTTTTTAAGCAAGTTCTTTTTTATTTTGTTATGCATTAAACTTGCAAAGCATCCATAAAATCAAAATGAGTTATATTATTGAATATTCCTGAACAAAATTTATCTAATGCAAGATTTAAATAATAGAATAATGTAGCCTATGAATTATGGTTTCTAAGGGACGTCAGAAACAGTCATAAACATGTTTAAATTGGTTTCTCTAATTCTATGGAAATGTATCCCTTTCCGAACCCATTGTATAAAAAAATTTAATCAACGTGTGGATGCCAGTGATCTCAGAAGATGATTGGATGAGTTTAAGGGTCATAACCTTTCTCAGCTCACTGGATGCATCAAAATATGCTAACAGGTGTTAATGACAACTTTATGGAAAGTGGAAGGCACTCGAAGGGGATTTTAGTTTAGCAAAAAAGGAAAATTTATTTTTTAATCATTAGAGAAACAGATTCTTACATAGTTACTCGTGGATTATCGGCTCGGACTTTAAAATTGATAATTTAACTATCTCGATTGGATAAATCCGATAATCCACTGGTATCAATGTAAGAATCTATATTTCTCTAATTCTTTGGCAATTTAACCCTTTCTCGACGCATTGTATAAAAAGTGTAATCAACATGTGGTTGCTGATGATCTCAAAAGATGATTGGCTGAGTTCAAGGGTCATAACTTTTATCAGCTCACTGGATGAATCGAAATGTGCTAACAGGTGTTAGAGAAATTGACAACTTTGTGGTATGTTGAAGGCACTCAAAGGGGATTGTGGTTTATCAAAAATGATAATTCATTTGATAATCATTAGAGAAACAGATTCTTACATAGTTACTCGTGGATTATCGAATTTATCCAATCTCAATAGTTAAACTATCAAATTTAAAGTCCTCTTGATAGTTGAATTATCAATTTTAAAGTCCTCGCCAAAGCTCGGACTTTAAAATTCGATAATTTAACTATCTAGAAGAATAAATCAAATAATCCACGGGTACCAATGTAAGAATCTATATATATATATATATAACATGATAATTCATTTTTCACACAGGTTTTGTTTAATAAAAAGTTCATAGAAAGCTAAGCAACAGTCTTACGAAAAAAAATGATTAATTTAGTTTTTATGTTGAATTTTGTGGGTGTTGTTTAACCTATCAAACTCTATGATGTTTTATACATAATGGTCTTGTCTCTTACGTAGTCACGAATAAGATTTACGCCAAGGCTCGGACTTTAAAATTCTTACTAAGTCGGGATCTTTTTTTATGTCTACATTAACATCTTTCTGGCAAAATGACTTCGAGCAACTCAATGTTGATGATTATGGATCTTCATGAGGCGATATCAAAATGGTCTTTAATTGTAAGATTTCGTATTCTTTCATATAGAGGCAGCGTTTTGGGTAAAAGAGAATTAGTAAAGACAATATCGGTGTTTGTCTGTTCGTCGTTTTTATTATAGGCCAAGGTGTTTTGTGTTTTATTGGACTCCTGAATTTTGATTTTCCCCTTGGTACAATCTCTCTCTGTTCTTAGATATATGTTAAATGGGGCGACCTACATTTGCGCGGATTTGAAAATGACAAGCATTACATTTGCGCGGAGAAATGGCATTACGTTTGGCGAATTAACCTGATTTACCTGAGTTTTTTTACCTGTAATTTGTTTTTCGATTATTGTTTTGAACATAAATTGGCGATCATACCACGTCTTCTTATTTCACATATTGATAAACATATATTAGACAAGTCTTTATTTTGAAATATCAGAAATTGCTGAACGGTAAACTGATTTTTCTCTTTGTCTGTGCGTTTTACAAGGGATTGGTTATCGCTGCCGCGAATTTTAATGTAAGTAGTCGCCTGAACTTGTAGAATAATTTCAACGAAAGTGTAGATGGCTGGATGAGTTGAATAAAACTGTTCATTGTAATGACTATGAAAAGACTCTGGCCTATTGTTGGTACGTTTTGTTTCTTCATTAGGCACAGCCGTCCACATTGATGGTGGAAATTTTGACTCGCTGGTAACGTAATTTTCTACTAAGTAGTCGGCAAATTTGTTGCAATTTTCATTTACAGGAGCATTTGCCATTATATCTTCTGCAAAACTGTCCTCAACTTCCTCTGCCTGAAGAAATGGCAATCCAAAAATCTTGGTTAAACATTTTCCTAACTCAATTGACTTATCTTTGTACTCATTGGCTATGCCTAAATTTTGTATTTTTCGAAACCAGGCCTGTCCAAGATGAAAACGACAACCTTTGATTGTTGTATTTGGATACATTCTTCGAACCGTATTATGCATTGACAATTCAAAATCAACATTTACAGATGTAGGGTTGAATACTAGATTTCTGTCAGCGCAAAGCTGGTTAACTGCTGTCCAGAAATTAGTGTAAGTGATCTCATGTTTTGACGGAAGCAAAGCAAAAAGTAAAGGAACGTAGTTTCCGTTTCTGCATCAATAGATAGAATACAATTGATAAAAGAATTTGGGACAATACTTGAATGTTCCATCAATAAAGATTTCATCAGTCGAATCACATAAAAATGTGAGATTTGAATCACATGTGAAAATCACGATCCCATCATTAGAGTTATTGTACTGAAGGAAGGTTTCATCTAAAATAATATGAAATATTATCATTTTTTTAATGCTATTCCTTTTAAAGATATATATGAAACAACAAGCGGAACATGTTTGCTTTATTGTAATGAAGATATGTCACATTTGGTCTGAAACAATCTAATGGCATCTTATAGGAGTAAGTGCCTCTGAAATGTCCAATTATAAGATTAATTGATTATTACTTCAACTTGGTTCATTATAAAGCCATATGATCTTTTACCAAAGGTTGGATGACATATGACCTTGAAAAATGACAACCGGAAGTGACCTTGAGAAAACAGGAAGAAGTCATTTTTGCACTTTCTTCTTCGAAAAGTACTCGGAATCCATATATTTAGTAATTTTAATACATTAACTTATCACTGAAGACTAGAAATGACTTTCGATAAACCGAAAGGGGCCAATTGTCTCCTGTTTTACAAGCAAAAGTATATAGAAACTATATATTTTTGGAATCAGTGTGAAAGAAACTTTTATATGAGACCGGAAGTGACATTTACTTCACCGGAAGTAGCTAATTATCTCTCTTATTTCACTCAGAAGTATATAGAAACCACTTATTTATCGCATCAGTATGAAGAAACTGATGATAAGATGCCAATTTTAACTTTGAGTAAACACGAACTAGCTTCTTTTCGATAAATTTTTAAATTACTGTGGAAAGACCTTCAATTGTTCTGTGAACAATTGGTTTTTAATTTAATTTTTTTTTAATTTTTATTAAGTAAATTTGTTCAAAATAATTTCAGTTTATTCTAAATATATTAGAGTAAATTTTGTCTTTTTTTTTATAAAAAAGTTATGGATTTATTTTTCATATGTTTTGTATAAATCTGCGCAAATGTGTAACTTTTCAAAAGGTAAATTTCGCGCAAACGTAATGCATTTTGTCGCGCAAACGTGCATTTTTTTTTCTCGCGCAAATGTAGGACGAATTCGCGCAAACGTAACGCGCCGGTTAAATGCATGGGTCGTGAAATAGGCTTTATTATACTTTCACCTCTTTATACCTTATAAAACAGGCACAGTAAATTTGTTTTTAAAAGAAAATACTTTGTGTAAATCTAAAATTGATGATATCGCATTCGCAATAAACCAAATAAAAACGATTCCTCATTTGAAATTTACCAAGAAGATGATCACTTAACAACAATGTATTATACTTATTTTTACCTTAATCAAGATGGCAAACATATTCAGGTGTGATACGTTGGACTACATGTAAAAGAAAATTATGCTAGTTTAATCAATAGTTATAGGGATAATTATATAAAAAAATAAGTCAAAAACCACCGAGAAAGATTAAAGAGATATGATCATCGCGAAATCTCGCTGTCTCGTTCTTTGGCCTTTGGTGGTTAAATCAGTTTAATTATCAAATCTCGTTGTTGTTAGGCATATAAATGTTAGTAAAAAGAAAATAGTCTTTATTAGCGAAAATAGTAATCTTTAATCTTTTTTCCAAATTATAATTGACAAAATCGATATAATATAATAAGGACATAAGCTTTTGACTGTAGGTTTATGTACATTTGTCATGTTAAACCAATTATTGTATATTGAAACCTGTAGTCTGAAAACCTGCATACTATGAGGTCTTTTTCGTCTCTAAGTGTAGTTGACGATTCTTAACCGCCATTTTGATTTTACAATTTAGAGTAGTGATGAGACTATTACCGGTAATTGTGGAATTATAAAAACTGGTGAACGCTCCTTCTCCAACACTTTATTTCCCAAAACTTTCACACGTAGTGAAATGTATTTTGTCCGGCACCAAACTATAACGGAAATATAATTTTACCGTTATGGGACCTCAATTTTTTTAAAACTATTGCTTCAAAATGACACGTTATGAATACTACTCCTGTAGAGCCAATTTGACCAAAACCTTTATTCATTGATATAAAAAGAAGATGGGGTATTATTGTCGATGAGAAGACATACACATAAAGATTATGTCGCAGAATCCATGTTTTTAGCTCTTAACCTTACATAACATTTGTCAGTGTTCTAACAACACAACATCAGATAAAACTGTAGAAAATAATTAAAAGGGCTTGACTCGTCAGATCGATACAATTTAAAGCACACAAAAATTACAAAATACACGACACACCGATTTAACAGTAAGGTTGTTTTGGCCATTTTGACCTAGTGTTGCATAGACACCTTTTGAACACTTCTTCGAACCTCAATACCTTCATAAATGGTTTTTAATTAAGCGTTATTGTCTTTCCTATAATGCCATCTTGTAATTTTAACGCTGATATTAGTCATCGCTCAGTTTATCTTCACATAAAAACACCAAGACTTTAACAACAATCCATGCATTCAAAAAAGTGACCTTATTTTATGAGAGATAATTACGAAAGATTCAACCTTTCATGGTAATGTAACCAGTGTAACTTTGTTACAAAGATAAGGTGTCATTAAGCATGGCATGGATAGATGTCGGGTAAATGAAAATGAAACAGAAACCCTACGAATCAATTCAAATAACCAATTAGATATCTGAAATTCAACACAGTCTACAACAACAGATATATTTCTATACACTATGTCAATCTCAATTCCTCCCGAGTCATGAATCTGAAATATTGTCAACAAATTGATAGTGACTATGAACGATTTGCCATCAACAATCATATTGACCGTCAATATTGTATACATGTACTAACATTTGTAAAATTGAAGGAAACATTAAATTTTTTTTTGGAAAAAAAACCCTTCTGGACAAAGGAACGCCAAGACCGTGCACGACCATATCAACACAGACATTGAAAAAAAACACGTCAAAGACAAAGACACACACAAACACGCAAAACATTCACACAAGAATAGCACTTATCCCATTGAAAAAAAAACTCTATTTGGCAATTGGCCGCAGTTATATTGGTCATGAAAAATTTAAAACAAATCTTGTGAAAATTGAAACAAGTAAATCACAATTGCGGTTTCAACAAAAGAAATATGTCCATGGTCATCTGTGAGGCAGATATTCAAAGAAAATAAACCAAAGCAGGATCTCTTCTGTAAAAGTTTTGAACAGATGAATAACTCAACAACGAGGAACCTTACCTTCAGTAGTCCGTGTAAGCTGAAACCATCTATCAAGACAATCTTGTGATGAAACTGAAGTTCTGGAATATGATATCAATACAGATATATATTAGCAATATAGAAGTGCTGCTGGAAAGTGTCCTTATTTAAAAAGAATGTTTGCAGTAGGAAAATAACAGTTATCTCTTTTGTCAAAAGAAGTCGAAAAAGATAAACAACATCATTATCAAAAGTAAAAAAGATGAAGAGTCTTAAAGTTCTAAAAACACCAAATAAAGAAGCTAAAGGTGGAGCAGCATGAAACCGGAATAAAAGGGTGAACACAGACAGCGTAAGCAACGTACATGCTCAAGAAGTGGCATACGTCTTAAACACAAGTACAACTCTGGTAACAGTTCAATATCGGTGGTACTCATATACGAGCAAAGGTAAACGTGATTATGGTAGGCTAAATAGAGGTCGATCAATTTAAAACGTATCCAAACGGAGATCAAACTTGGAAACTTTGGGGCAACTGATTAATTTGCATTTGGTTTAGGTTTTCTTCAGTTTCATATTTCGTAGTATCCTTTAGTGAAACATCGTAGAAGATGTGTAGTAGCTGCAATTCTGAGGTACATGACACTGATTGGTTTAACAAATAAATGCCCAAGTCCAATTATGTTGCATCTGGAACATAACCGGTTTTTTTTTAGCAACACAGAATATAGAATAAGTTTAAGACAATACACTTGAGATTTCCAACGTTTCTCGAGATAAGGTTATGCAAGATTTATAAATGAAGCGAAAACATCTCTTTCTTGGTAAAGGAAAAACCCATACAAAAGACATGCTTTGGATGTCTTATTTCTGTCATTTATTGTGTGATGTCTTACTGTCTTCGTGTCATTTCCCCACATCCGTTCTTATCCTTGGTTCAGTAACCTTGCAGTAAGCAGCCACGGATTGTCAAGGAAAACTTGATAGGAAACGCACGTTGATGTATAGTATCAACAGGGAGACACATACTTCATGTATTGCTGGTATGTTGCTATAATAACTTTGAATGCTCACAATGGGAATATTTCATCTCCTTTTTCGTTGAGTTCCGTTCTAAAATATATAGATATTATTATATAAAAATAATAAAATAAAAAGATGAAATACGGATTCATTTTATATCACCGTCAACCAAACTCCAAACACTGTTAAGTTCCGCCGTTGCTGTAAACAAAGAGATGGTATGCGGATGCAAGTTCTGATAAGTGATCACCTTACTACATTTATATTCGTAAACAAACAAAACATTCAGTAATTGAATTCAGATGGTCAGAGATCAAATATAAAAAACAATGAGGAATGTACAGTACAAAATAGGGAAATTTAAAGATTTTATTGTCAAATATCTTTTTCTATGTAAAAGTCTTCCACAAAATGTTAGGCAAGAAAACCACACACTTGTTTGTTTTTTTTTTTGTTTTTTTTGGAACAGAAATTTGTTATTCAAGGTACTTGACATTATCTATTAAATGACTGTAATGTTAAAAGACTTGGATCGCCATACTTTGATAGTTTTCGATTATTAATTTTATCTTAAATTTCATAAAGACTAGAAGAAATATTATTTTTAGCCTTTCGCATTTTTCTTCTGAAATATATATTCAGAAAAGAATCATTATAGTCCTGAAAATTTAAATTAAAGGTTTAGAAATGAACCTTACGGTCATGTTTTAATACGAGGTTTATTATAAATTTCTAAGCAACACAAGGTTATCAATTTCTCAAAAGGAACCAAAATATCGTCCATCATCTCAAATCAATCGAAAGAATATTGTATCTTCATCAACGACTCTTCCTGCTTACGGCAATTGTCTGAGCAGAAGTGAGAAAATTGGTTAAAACATTCAATACTTAAAACAAAGTTTCTTCATAAATGCATCAATCTTGCTGATTACTTTTGGAAGTAAGTCCATGTTCTTCTAAAACAGTATAAAGAATGAACTGGGAGGCAGGTGATATAGTTGAGGCGAAAGAGTATTATATCTACATTGCATGTGTACTTTTCATATTTGTACTTGAGATTTGAGGTGCAAATAACAATAAATGCGAAAGAGCACGGGATTATGACAAAAACAAATGAGAAATATAAGTGTGGTCATCTGTAGAACAGTTTCATGTATTCTACAACGGTTAATCAGGTGATAATGGTTAATTTTTACCAATGTATTTAGTATGTATGTGATTCAAGATTTGTTCTCATTAAGGCGATTTCACAAGACCAGCTGTAAGTTTTTTTTTAATTCATAATAGGCAACAGATGATATTTTTTCAAATGCAATTTGTCAATATTTATTGTTACAGAAATGGAAGAAGGAACAACACATGCACTGGTTCCTAATGGACAAGAGAATTTAGAGATTAAGAAGGGTAATAGAATCTGGCTCCTTAAATGTGTAGACCATGAATATACTTCGAAAAAATATTCACTTGTTCATCTAACCATAAAGATATCACTTAAACCGAGTAGCTCTTTTGTTCTTCAAAAGATATATTTAATTTTTCAGTACTTTTATACCATTTTCTAATTATTTAGTATCATTAAATTAGTATTCCTAGTAAAACCTTCTTTTGATAAGTATGTATAAAAACGACAATTGATGAATTGTTTAGAAAGTATATATGGGGTATTGCTTTTATAAAAAAAAAATTACTTTTTTCTGTTTTTGTTTTGTAGAATCTGTACCTCTGTTTGGTTCTAGTCGTTTTGCACTAGCCATCTTAGGATTTTTTGGACTACTTAACATGTATGCGATGCTTGTTAACATTAATGTTGCGATTGTCTGCATGGTGAATAGGACTGCGATATATACTAGTGATAACTCTACAGTTAATCACAATGAAGATAGTAACTGTTATCGTCAGAAAGATAACTCATCGGATGTATCTTCTATCCCTGTAAGTTGAGGCCAGAGAGAGAGAGAGAGAGAGAGAGAGAGAGAGAGAGAGAGAGAGAGAGAGAGAGAGATTATATCATCAGTCTATTTCTTGATAACAGGCTCAAGATTCTAAGTCTAAAGTATCTTAGAATTGATATCATTTTTGACGTCATACAACAATCACATTTCCATTGTGGCGTCAGATATTTTCTATTGTGACGTCAAAATTTTACGGAACCTTTGTGATGTCCAGCAATGGCGATCAAATAGCGATAAGGTGTATTGTATGGAGTCGGGGAGATGTGGGGTTTACGTCAATAAGACAATGAAAAAAAAAACAGTAGTCAGGTGTTTTACTTTACGATGCCTAGTTAGACCCAACCATATCATCTTATTTCTAATGGTGAGATGCATTGACTGCAACATATCAAACTACTCTCTAAAATAGGTTATGGACAATTAATGCAAATTAAACATTCAATTTATCGTTCACTTTGGTTTCTAAACCATAATCCTCAATGAAAGCTTGTATCATTTAAAAACTTTATAACAAGTTTGATTGTGTTTAATTTGCCAAGCTTACAAGACAATGTTCTCTATTTCTGTCTGTCGACCTTCATCGTTCTGCATAAATTATTAACAATATTATATGTCGAAGCCAAATCATCTTTTCATCCAAACATGAATGTACAATGTGTTTTAATGATCTTTTAAAACTGCACAAAAGACCGAGAGGCATTTAGAGAAATGATAAATCTATATCATATTTGGAAGTATGGTTTACTACCCTAGTTAATTTAGATAAGTCACCCGTTACTGCCGAAATAACGATGAAATAGATTGAACGGAAAATACAATGAAAAGATTTTAAGCAACAAATTCTATGATATTGTTGCATTTTTTACGGGTGTCTTCTATCAAATATTTATACATTTATTTACTTATGTGTACGCTTTAAGCTTTAGCCGACCAGTTCCCTTTTTATAATTGCGTGGGTCGGTTGTTCTATTTCTTCATTGGTCGAAAATTAATTGTGATGTACATTTTCTTGTCTTTCTATTTTGTTAGTACGACGTTACGTGTCTGATGACGTCCTACAGAAGGAACAAAATATTTTGCAGACCATAAGAGAAGAAGGTTAAAGTTTGTCTGTAGTTTGTTCTCTTCATTATTTCTAGGGTGGTGAGTTAAATTGGGATCCAGAGATACAAGGATATGTACTCGGTGGATTTTACTGGGGATATTTGATAACACAGATGCCAGCAGGCTGGATAGCTACAAGATTTGGTGGAAAGATGGTGACTGGTTGGAGCATGTTTATTTCAATGATATTCACATTGCTAACACCATTTGCTGCTAAAACTAGCTTTATCTTTGCAGTAGTTGTTAGGATTATTATCGGAATGTGTACAGTAAGTCATATATTGCTTGTTTCTGTTTTTCATATATTGTATTATACAAACTTCAGGCCGTTAGGTTTATCGTTTGAATTGCTTCACATTTGTCATTTCGGGGCTTTTTATAGCTTGCTATGTGGTAAGGGTTTTTCTGATGGTTGAAGGCCATACAGTGACCTATAGTTGCTTACATCGGTGGAGATTTGTCTCAATGGAAACCATACTACATCTTCTTATTTTTATCTTTCTTCGAATAAAACTTGGACGTTATTGTTGTCAGCTGTATATGTTTTGCTTAGAAGTTTTGATGCAAACATACATAAACATCTCATTTATAGTTTGGTACAGAGAACAAATACCACAAATTCGTTACCAGACATTACTAAAAACTTTTACTTAAGGTAATTCTTCCATGGATACAAAAACTTCGTTTGGACGTTTACCTGTACCTGTAGAAGACCTACTACAAATGGGATAGCACATCTTAATTTTTACGGTGATGTTACTGACGTCTTTACACGAAATTCATTGGGTGTTGGATGTGTACGGATTAATGTTTCAGTCTTCCGACACTTGGTTTTTTATTAGCTGTTCTTTGCATTGGCTTTGAACTAGCTTTCAGTTAACTACAAGTACTCTCATATCTGTACTTTGAGTTTTTTTGTGGTTGTGTTAGGGCTTTTGTGTGCTTTGTTTCGATCTGATGAGTTAATTCCATATTTGTTTTTTGTTTTGAACATAAATCAGGTTAGTTTTCACGTTTGAATTGTTTTGCATTTGCCATTTCGTTTTTTTTACGGCGCATTATGCGATATGTGTTTTGCTCATTGTTACGTACGGTGACCCGTTGTTGTTAACGTCTATGTCATTTGGTCTGTGGTGTAAAGTTGTCTCATTGGCAATCATACTACATCTTCTTATTTTTATCAGTAGGTAACATAAAAATGTGCCAACCTAGAGAGAGAGAGAGAGAGAGAGAGAGAGAGAGAGAGAGAGAGAGAGAGAGAGAGAGAGAGAGAGAGAGAGAGAGAGAGAGAGAGAGAGAGAGAGAGAGAGAGAGTCGTTTCGTTCTGGAGATAGAAGTATTACTCTATTCTGAAATGCAATTTTTGCCTTTTTTATCATATGATATCAACACCCGGGAAACCGATTCATTCACAAAAGTAACAAGTATCTTGTAATAAGATTACATTAAAAGATAATCTTGAAACTAATATTGTTAATAGGGAGCAGTATTTCCTGCAATACACTCTCTCCTGGGTAATTGGGTACCTCCGTCGGAACGAACCAAGTTTACTGCAATGACGTATTCAGGTAAGAAGTTTGGTTACATTTGATTTATTATTTTTAAAGAAAGAATTATTAATAAATAAACAAACAAACAATTAAATCATTAAATGAATAAATAAAATATATAAATAAACAAATAGGTAGAGCTGTCTAAAACTGTTCCATATATTGAACCGTTGTTGTCTATCCCACTGAAACTTGTTATGTCGTAAATTTACATTAAACTATCTACAAAATGGTGTACAACACTCCTTTTTCTATCGTCGGAATCATTCGTAACCGGCCATCCAAGTATGCCAACCGTATTTATTTCGTCTTCTCACAGCCCAATGGAAATGTTAATCGCAGTGAATGATTGGCATTGTTCTAATGTTTAAAATTGTCCAATTGTCTAAAAAACTGTTAGAAATTTCCAAAATGGTTCTACGGTAGAACAGCTTCTGTCAGAAAATGTTCTAAATGTGTCAGGAGTACTGTTCAAGTCTTAGAGACTGTTCTAAAACACTTCTGACATGTCCTGAGAATTTTAGGGAAGGTAATAACTGATCACTACTGTAGTTTGACACCCGCCATATATAATTGTTCCAAATCTGTAATCTCTTAAGTGGTTGTCAGTGTCCCTACATGTTTTTTTTTTCTGTCAAGATTTTTTAGATTTGATGCTAGGTATTTGGCTGTCTGCGTCAAATTGATTTTAAGTTTATTTAAAGCGTAGCCGTTTGTTTTTTTGTTGAAGGTCGTGTGTTACCTCCAAAGGTCATATTTTTGTTGCAGCCTGTTGATTTATGACTTCTCATTTCAATTTAATTCATGCAGATAGTTTCATAGGAAAATAAAAGGAGAGGTTTAAAATCTCAAAAATTAGCTGAACCGAACCACATATTCCAGTGTCGGATCTAGTTAAACATACACATGGCATAGTTATGTTGACTCTGTGACCAGTATACCTGTGTAATTACCTATTTAAAAAGGCGTTATATGTTACACGAATGAAAGAATCGCTCTTTCATATCTATTAAGAGCATTTTTATCAAAGTCTTCAGCAGCACCAGAGGATCTCTTTCAAGTGTCGTCCTTTATATATGTCGTTTTGTGAATTATTTTCCTATACAACCTGCAAAGGCGATTTCAGTTGTGGACTGCAATAGTTTGGTTCCCTGCGTAAAATTTTCAGTACGCTTTCGGAATATACAAAGCTAGTCAAATAACGGCCTGGTACCAGTCTAGGACTGCAACCCCTCAGATAGAATCTGAAAAAAAAATATGTTTGACATAAAACAGGTAAACTATCGCCTCGTTTCGCTCAATCTAATTGTTTAGAGTCGCACGCTCACTTACCTCATATTCTGGGTTTCAACATGTTATTCTATTAAACCATATTTTATTTGAAGTATTTACTAAAGTATTTACTACAAGTACTTCAATAACGGTCAGCTTATGACAAAGAACATGAATATGCTAAAATTGAAAGAAGCTTTAAGGTGTAGTGTTGTAAATGTCGGTCAGATAATATGGAAGATTTATTATATTGATACTTGTCTGTTATTGCAATCACCGATTTAACAAAAAAATCATAAATAACAAACTGGATATTTACAAACAAAATGTACAATTTAAAACATTTGCAATCATAAATTTCCTTCTTGCCAAAAATAAAAAATAAACTGAAAGCAAAATATAACAGTTAATCTGTTACTTCAGTAATGACTTCAACAAATTATACGAAGCTTTTATTTCAGACAATATTCTGCATCGAAATAAGATTTTATTTTTGTTAACATAGTGAAGTTAATGTTTTCTTTCCAGGTACACAACTTGGCATTGTTGTAACATTTGCACTTGGTTCATTGTTGTGTGCACATGGTTTTGCTGGAGGTTGGCCGTCAATATTCTATGTCTGTGGTATGTAAATAAACATGAAACATTTAAAATCTCAATTTATTTTTCCGATTACGATTTCCGATTTCAGTGTGCAGGATATGGATTTGGATATCTTTTAAGAACGCTTGTAACGAATTATTTGTCATGCAAAAGTAAATAAATTTTAGTGATGAAATCCTTATCATACATTCTAAGTAAAATGTTATTTTCGTCAAATGCAGCCTCAGTTTTATTACTTTGTATAATAATGCATTCCATAAAATTATAATTAATAGTCTAAATGTATAAATTATATCATGCCATAGCTACTTTGCGGAAGAAATCCTCAAAAACTGACATCACACCAGCAGCCTTTCCAAAAAAGGTGGTATTAGAATAAGCCTTTGATACTTTAAGTTATTTCGGCGCGTAGTACCCCTTTTTAACTAGGAATTAAATTTAGTTAAGTGAACAATATAATCAGTGAATGTTCCAATCAAATGTTTTGTAGTAAAGAAATATCATTCAACATAAAACTGGAAGTACAAAAAGTTTATGAAAATAAACAAGTTTTTAAAAAATTATTACGGTCGGTTAGGATATTATCATATGGTGTATACAGGTTGGCCTATTCGTCGACGCTGTTGTAGATCTTAATTCGTCAATGCCCACTGTATGTATCAGTAAAGTCTTTTATATATATTATATTAAAAAAAAACACATTGTTGAAATGTCGGGCTTATCTTTTATAACTTAATCATATGAACCATTCAATGTACATGTAAGTAGGACTAACATTCCAAAATCAATACTCAATGGAGACACGTGATCCATGATCATCAATAAATTGCGTTCATAAAGTCAGTATGAATTTTCCCCTAACTGATTTTTTTTCCAGGCCATAACTTTTCCACTAGATTCTCTTCAATTTCATGATTTATTCATTTGAATTTATTTGAGTTTATTGTGACCTAACCAGCAGTTATAAGTTTGGTCTTCAGCCGGCTCAATTTTTGGGTTTTTTTTTTGCAATAAAACTGTGACAATTTTAAACTTCCGCATCTGCTGAAAAAAAACCAAATGTTATGTTCCTCCTAATATCTTTGATTTGATAATGCTCTTGAACTTCATACTTTATTTGGCCTTTTTAACTTTTTTGATTCGAGCGTCACAGATGAGTGATAGTCTTTGTAGACAAAACGCGCGTCTGGTGTATAAAATTTGATCCTGGTATCTATGAGGAGTTAATATATGTCACAGATATCTGAAATAAGAATAAACAGTCACAAAAGGATTTGGCATTTACAGGTTGTCGTTTGTTGCTGTGTAACATATTTGTTTTTCGTTCATTACTTTGTACATAAATTAGGCCGTCAGAAACGATGATCAGACCAACAGTGTCAGCGGGAAAACTAACACTTTTGGAGAAGGCGTTACTAAGTTAAAAAAACTTGTGTCTAATCGATCCGTTTGTCCTTTTTGAACAATAAAATATGTTTAAACTAAACTAGCCGGAAAACTACCTTGAGAAAAATGTTTGGTTACGCAGGGTCAATATTACATTCAAAGCTTGTTTCTCGATTTAAGATGAAACAAAAAACTTCAAGAAAGTATAACGACAAACGAAATTGAAAGAGAAGTTTTATAAAAAAAAGGCAAAACGTCTGTTTATGAAAGGTTGAAAGGCCAAATAATTATAAGAACAATTCCAAATGGTATTTTATTGGTAAGGTTGAAAGGCCTATAGAGAAAGTTGATCTTCATAGAAACAATTATTGTATAAAATAAATTGTAAAGAACTGATGCAAATTGTTTTAAATGTGCGTACAATATAAGAGACATGTTTTCGTAAAATTTTAGTATCCCCTGAAGTATGAAGAGTATATACTTTTTATTTATTTCGATCGTTTTGAACAATTATATGGCCGTTGTTCAAATGCTCTTAATAAATTAAAGAACATTCTTTTATTTTCACATTAGGCATGTCAAGTTTCATATGGTTCATTTTATGGATGTGGTTTGTAAGTGATACACCAGCCGAGCACAAACGAATTTCAAAAGAGGAGAAAGAATACATAATGGGTTTATTAGCAGACAGTACCCATGACACTAAAAAGAAGGTAAAAATTAATGAAAACTTATTCATATATCGTATGCAAAATTGGCTTCATTGTTTGTGGGTACAAATCGGGCTTAGTGAAGCTTGTGACAGAGTATAAATTATATTGAGAACTGTTTGTTGAAACCATTGCTTTACTCGAATACGTACTATGAAGAGTTGTAGAAAACTGATTTAATGGAAAATGAAAACCACACCATGTGTCGAAAGGAAAAAAAACATAGACAAAAAGTTATAAAGATCCAGATAAAAAATTCCAACTTTCAAATAAAGACAAAATGAAAAGAATGTCAATAGTTACAGGTCACCTGACGCCGGTCAACAAAAGTTCAAAAGGCACAAAATTATCGATCTATGAGTACTCGCAGTAACTGACAGTTAGTTCACAGCCCGATTTCGACTTCAAATAAACCATATTTTCCAAAGACAACATTTATGATCTTGTAAGTAAATTTTATGAAGATTTAAAAAAGCCATCAAACTATTTAACTAAGTCTGAAGATTATCTTCAATTGTCGTCAAAGTTTTGAACACTCTAGAAATAAAAAAAATAACACAATACGTAAATTATAAGATTTGGGTTGAAGGACAAATAACAAAGTCTCAAAAAGACAAAATAGAAAAGATATGCATCATTCAAGATAAATTACAAAGAGAATTGAAGATTGATCATTGACACTCTCATTCATTTCTTTTTAAAAGGAACTACATGTGCCATGGTTGGCGATTGCAAAGTCAATGCCGAATTATGCAATCGTGGTATCTAATATAACATGTGATTGGGGTCTTTATACACTGCTAACATACATCCCGACTTACATGCACGATGTTCTAAAGCTCGATATCACAACGGTAAGTTACATAAGCGACATTTTTTTTTGTAACTTAAAATAAGAGAAGTATTAGACCAATTTACAAGCAAGAAGGATCTCTCGATATATTGGGAAATAGTGATGATTTTATGTAGGAAACAACGTAGAAAACCCTTATAAAACTCTATAATCGTTTTTAAAAAAATCAAGCAGTCCGCTTCCGAAAATTTATTAGATAATGAAAAATAATGATTAGTACGTTTTGCTGTGTGTAGGTAAATAATGATGTAAAATGTAAAAATTTAAACAAGAAAGTTATTCGGAAATATTGACATGTGAAGAGTTACAAGCCGATTTCAAATAATAAGCACTCAAATCTTATTTTCTTATCTTTAGTTTTCTTTTTTGTGTTTTGCCATGGCATTGTCAGTTTGTTTTCGACTTATGAGTTTGAATATTCCTTTGGCATCTATCTCCTCTCTTTTAGTTAACATATTATGCATTCTTTTAAAAACCATGTCAAACCTTCTCTTACAGGCCCTCATATTGTAGGAAGTGGGTCTCTTGTTTAAATAAAATAACTAACTTGAACTAAGCAGGTCAGTGTCACTTTAAAACGTAAATGATCAAGTTTTAATCAATCTTTTGGAGTTTATGGCAGTTATGAGTACAATGAAAATATTAACAAGTAAATTACCCCCCCCCCTTTTCTATGATGACACAGGGAATTACAATAGAAAGTAGTAACATTTTATTCGCCGTGAGGAATACGACCCGCCCCCAAATATAAGGATAGTCAGTTTGGTTATACAGGATGAATACATAAAAACAAAATAGGGCGGACAATCCGAAGAATCGTGCACCAAAAGAGTAATACTGTATATACTCTTTGAAGTGTCCGTAGTCCAAGTTCTGTAGAAGGTTACCTATTAAACGTGAAAACATCATGTTAAAAATTATAAATTTCTTTTAAAAATAAGTGCAAAACAAAGCTAGTAAAAAACTAAAATATATATAAAAACAATAAAACAGAGTTGGTTGTAATATCTTTAATCTATTATGTATCAATTTCTCCTGCTTGGTAAGTATACAATATGTCAAACAATGTGTCTTTCAGTCCCCGCTTTCCCGTAAATTCCGCTATAATAGGGTTGGGGTGATTGGTTGACTGATAAATGTTCGCTAAACGCTCTTTTGCAAAAATTTCATGCATACTCATACTCCTTGACTTCATATTCTGAACGAGAACATATTAACAATGAGTCCAATAGTTAGGTGCTGTAGGGGGATGCAGTGACTTTATATTTGGTTTGTAGTCAACCAGCAACGATTATTCAATAGAAGCACTTGCCATCTTATAACAAGCATATTTACGGAGACAATCTAAAACCAAACTCAAGTTCGTGATAGAATTGGGCCTTTTATATACAAACTGACTGACTGTTTACTGTTAACAGTCCTTTCAGATCAATTGTATGGTATGCTAAAAGTTTTCAAAAATATAAACTAAGTGCCTTTATAATTTTTTGTATTAATTAATCTTGTATAAAATTGTCATATCAACCAATTAAAGTAACTGATGCAAAATTAACTTACAGAATGGACTGTTTTCGTCATTACCGTATATTGTTTTCTGGGCAACAGTATTTTGTGGAGGTTGGCTTGCTGATTTTTTCCGGAACAGAAAGTTGATGTCGACTACTAATACCCGGAAAGTATTTGACACTGTTGGTAAGACTCATTAAACTGCCCACCTTTTATCAAAATAGCATTCCAAAAATTAAAAATTAAAATATTTAAAAACGTGTTTATCAATAAAATTGAGAATGGAAATGGGGAATATGTCAAAGAGGCAACAAACCCGACCAAAGAGCAGAAAACAGCCGAAGGCCACCAATGGGTCTTCAACACAGCGAGAAAATCCCGCACCCGGAGGCGGGCTTCAGCTGGCCCCTAAATAAAAATGTGTACTAGTTCAGTGAAAATGGACGTCATACTAAACTCCAAAACATATAAATGAACTAAAATTAAAAATACAAGACTAACAAAGGCCAGATATGTTGATACGGATGATTGTTATGTACAAGACGTCATAGTTTATTACTTTGAATTTGAAATTTTATAGACAGTAATAACAGAACATTCAGTATAATAAATTACATAACACATATCTGAGAGGATGATAGAGCAGATTTTTACCCCTCGAAAAGACATTGTCAACCTTTGCTTCGCCTCAGTTGACAATGTTTTCTCGGGGTAACAATCTGCTCTATCACCCTCTCAGCAATGTGTTATTTATAAAATGTTCCAAATCTTTGTTTAACCAGTTTTTTCCCTCTCGAATAGAATAGAATATAATCCATTAGAAACTAAATTATATTTTAATCTGTTTCAGCAAAACTAGTTCCTGCTTCGATGTTGATTGGTTTAGGTTATGTCGACTGTTCCCAAACTGCCTTGGCAATTGTATTGGTAATTCTTGCTGTAAGTTCGGCAGGATTTCAGTACAGTGGATGGGTTGTTAATCATATTGATATAGCACCCAGCTATGCAGGGATCTTACTTGGAATATCGAATTCTCTGGCGTCTACGACAGGAATCATATCTCCAATTATAGTCGGGGCAATTACAGAAAAGGTTAGTTTTTGAAAATGTTTGTGCAACTATGCTTTTGTAGTCATTTAATTTAGTCAATGCACTGACATTTGGTCAATGAATATGTGCTACACGTCATTGAGACAACAACCCAACAATATTATAAAATAAAAACATTGAATTTACATCCCGTAAGGACACTGAAGTGGCAACTAGAAAAATAAGACATAGAAAGCAAGCTTTCTAACATTCAAGTTGGTATTAATTATTTTTTTCCACACAAATTAAAGGTTTTGATTGAATTAACCGTTTATAAGAAAACTCCATAAGAATGTATTATAAACTTTGTATGCAATTTTTATTTTCATGAGATTTGAATGTGATAGTGTTAACTTTGTAATAACTATGATTTTTCAAATAGGGGTATGTTAACAAATTGGACATTGCTTTACAGATTGTTTTATTGTAGATAAAATCAATATAATGAGATCAAATTTAACTTTTTTTTTTTTTTTTTTTTCATTTTTTCATTTTTTTTTCTTTGTTGTCCATTCTAGTTTGATTGCTTCTGTCTAATTTTTCATAATTTTAACGACTTTTGCTATTAAAGATAGAAAAAAAATCGCAATTTTTGTGTAGACACTTGCTTTTACCGTTTTTTTAATATGATATTGACTAAAAAAAAATCGAAAATAAGAAATTAATTTTGAGCAAAGATTTGATCCGATTTTGTTCCAAATCAAATTCCCGTGTTTATCATTTAGGTTTATCCTACCTATTGTTGGTTAACTAAAACAAACGTTACGGATATAGTGGTTTTAGGGGCTTGATGAAACTGGCACAACAAAGTCGTCACTTTTTACTGACAGTCAGTTTTAGTTATAGCATAAGTTAATTCAATGTCACTGCTTATATCAAGAGACAATGTGTATGATAAAGGAGATTAAATAATTTAATAAACACTTTTCAAATACGCTTCTTCGAAATAGTACGTTCGTATCATGCTGCACCCAGCACGGCCTTTGCGTTCAACTTTAACCTGTTATAAATGTTTCACCAGGAAAAATATAGAACAAGTCATATACATGTTTCTAAATTCCGGTTTATTTGAAACGTTCAAGCTCTTTGGTTCCAACTAGTTTGTTTTAGATAAATTATATGCTACGCTGTGTTATTTAAAGGTTTGAAATCTCTAAATATGCATCTGCGTAAAAAAAAATAATTGCAACAATCTGAATATTTTTTGTTTGTTTGTTTGTTAATTTAGTTTTTGTGTGTTGTATTGATTTGTTATGCTTTTTGTATGTGGACACACTTGTTATGTCTTTTCACTATTTATGAACTTTCTTAGAAGAACGACAATGGAATAATCGAGTTTATAATACAGTCCTTTAAAAAAAGTGTTCATCCAGAAAGGACTGTCGCTTTGGTAAAGCAATAACAAGACTTTGGAGTTTCTTTTTTTAACTTGGCACTGGTTTATGATATACCTAACTCATCTAAGTACGCATTCGTCTTTACAGGCACAAACTCGAGCTGAGTGGCAGATAGTTTTCTACATTGCAGCAGGCATTTATCTATTTGGTGCAATATTCTATATTATATTTGCTAGTGGTGAATTACAACCATGGGCACAGGAACCTGTTACTATATCGATTCCACTGGAAGAGCAAAATGCCGGAAATCTTATGGACGATGACGATGATATGTGATTTTGAATAACGCATTGTTATTGATTAATATGCTTGTAAAATGAACAAATCAGCGTTTTCTGTGATATATCATATTTTTCTATGTGTTGCTGATTTATAGTATGTTTTTTTTTATAACTTTATAATGCGACTCCAAGGTTTGATATGTCACATAATGATATTGTGCTGTTGTTGTTAGTCTTTCCACGATAACTTTGATAATCGATATTTATGAACGTATCAGGGATGATGTCTGCTGTCTTTGGCATCTAAATTTTGTGATTAATGTTTTTTTTAATAAATTATATTACAGTTAATTTCAGCTTTTTTTTTTTTATTAAACTGATAAAATAAGAGTTCCAGTGGAATTTTTATATTTATATTGCATTTATAAGGGTTTAAAGGAGGATATTCCGTTTTGAGAGGATTTTTCATACAATTTTTCATGAGAATTGTTTTCAATGATTGAAAATAGAATGTTTACTGGTAGCCCCAGCTTTAAAATGAGTTGAAGATTTAAAAAAAAAACCAGTGTGTATTTTTGGTGAAAGTTGTCTTTAAAGACGGTAGGTTTGAGTAGGAAAAGTTAGACTGTAATGTTGCCTTAAATGCTGAGATTGAATTGTTTGTTTCTTGACTCTATCAATGCTATAGACAAGATAAGTGTTCAATATACAATACAAACACTGAATGATTCTTAAAATTTGCATTGTTTTGAACGCATGTAATACTTACACAACAACTTTACAAAAGATCTTCATTGAAGTTTGCCCGGTTGTGCAGATTCATTTTGAAGCAATCGCGGCAATTACTTTAAAATCTCCATCTTTTTTTTAATGTGAACTTTCAAAACAAACAAAAATAAATTTACATTATGGATATTTAGTTAAGATAACATTAGACTCTTTACATCTATGTACGAGCAGAGTAAGGGAATACGAAAATATGTTGAATATTTAAGCACGCGCTGTAAAGCATAAAATTCGAGTTTGTTTACTTTTCTTTTATCGATATATTCGTATATGACAGTGTATCGTATTGCGTTTTGATGTACGGTGGGAATAGCTGCCCGACGATGTTGCATTAAGAATACACTACGACGTAATTAATTGTCAAAAAGAGAAACGGAATCCCTAGCATTTAAAACACTAGGTTTTCTATTTCTAACTGAAAAATAAGCACAAGGAACCCGATTTGTTTTCTTTTGCAATCGACTATGTACTATTTCAGGAACAACATACCGAAATTTCAAGAAAATATCAACGACAATTTTTTCTATTATATACATTTGTTTTGGCAAGAAATTCTCAACGGCTTTTTATTCATTTTTTTGTGTGTAAAAAATTTGTATCCCAAAAATTTTATCGCATTCAGACTTTTTCTGGGGGGACTTCCGTAAAGGCATTTAAGGTAAGGATCACCTTGGGCAAAAAAAACGGATGAAATTTTATCTTTTCGTTTGAAATTTGTGTTTTTTTTTGCAAACTAGTGAGAAATGAAATTTTGTGTAACTATATATATATGCATGAAACATGCAAAACTTAAACTTAAATATTTCGAAAAGTAAGCCATGAAGGAATATCTTTCTTTGCATATTTTAATAGTGCATATAAAAGGTTTACTCTGAGTGAAAAATTTTAAGGAAAAATCAATGAGATATTTTTTTCTGTATAAAAGTTAGAGTCTTTAGTTTTCTTACCCGTGTTTTGTAGTTCGTCGTTTTTCTTTTTGTCCATTGTATTGTTGGAATATTTTCAAATTATGATTTTTTAGCGTGCCTTTGGTATTTCCTGCCTCCTTTTTTTCATTTAAAACTGAAATAAGATATTTTCCTTAAGTGCATGGCGGAGCTCGAGAAATCCAAGGAAAATCACCTTAGAATGTATTTGTTTTTGCTGTGGTTGATTTAATGCATTGAATGTTTTACATGTGAATAGGCTACATTTATTCATCAACATACTGACAAAGATATAATTCATAGATTACCGTAGCTTTATTTGTCAAAACCTTTTCGGAATTTTGGGTCCTCAATGCTCTTCAACCTCCTACTTTATTTGGCCTTTTATGCTTTTTTGATTCGAGCGTCACTGATGAGTCTTTTATAGACGAAACGCGCGTCTGGCGTACACAATTCTAATCCTGGTATCTTTTATGAGTATATTCAAATACAAAATTAGTTTAATTACCGTTGTCACTTTAAATGTTATAAGTTCCTATTGAATATAAACTGTCCACTGTACGCACGTATAGTGATATACTCAAAATAAAGGTTGGAGTTTGTGTGTAGTGTTATCTTTAAGGGTAGGAGTTAAGTGTGATTGGTTTATTTGTATGATGACGTAGACCGTGTATATTTACGCCAAAGATATTTAATTTTGGTGGTCAAATGAAATCAAATAGAATTTTTTTAAAGTCGGTAAAAAGCATACAATAAAGTAAAACATAAGCTCTTTAGAGCTTTTAAAACCGACATATCATAAACACAAAATTGTCGAAATTGAAAATTTAGAATTACTCAGTACTTTAAAGTGATCCCATGTCTAGGAAAAAATAACAATTGAAAAATATTTAATTTTTTCTCATTTCAATATTAACTTGAAGATTAAAAAATAAATTTACTTGTATTTTTTAGATAATTCGAAAAAAGTAAAATGGTTCATGTTGTAGATCAATTTCATTTCTTAACATTGATACAGAGTAATAAAGTATAAGTGAACTTTTACAGAACATTGCATTTTGTTTTTTTACTACAAATGAATGCACATTTATACGGCTTCTTCAATTTCTCTTTAAAGAATGTGGTAAAAAAAATTTAAAAAAATCCGTCCATTTCAGGATTTTTCATTTTTTCACAAATTGAAACTTGAAATGCTAAGATAAAAATTACATTACCCTTTTTTAGTTTTCAACTCAAAAATAAAAAGAATACTCCTCTGTAAAACTTTTTTTCATTTTGAAACTTCTCGATCCAATTTAAAAAATAGTCCATAAAAAGTAAAATAACAAAAATACCGAACTCCAAGGAAAATTCAAATCGGAAAGTCCCTTATAAAATGGCAAAATCAAAATGTCAAACACATCAAACGAATGGAAAACAACTGTCATAGTCCTAACTTGGTACAGGCATCGTGGTTTAATTTTCATTTTTCGAAAATTTCACAAAAAAATGAAAATACTCCTCTGTGGAGCATTTTTACAATTTTTGAAATCGTTTGACTAAGATAAAAAAAAGTTTAATAAACGTATTTCTACAGACCGTTTATATTACGCCAAAGATATTTTATTCTGGTGGTCGAAATTGAAAATTTAGAATAACCCAGTAATTTAAAGTGATCATATGACGTGCTTTTT